ATTTATTTTTATTACAAAGTCAGATATACAGAGAGGAAGATCTTCCATCTGATGATTCACTCCCCAAGTGACTGCAGCGGCTGGTGCTGCGCTGATCCAAATCCAGGAGCTAGGAATCTCCTTCCAGGTTTCCTACGCAGGTGCAAGGTCCCAAGGGCTTTGGGCCGTCCTAGACAGCTTTCCCAGGCCACAAGCAGGGAGCTGGATAGGAAGTGGAGCCACCGGATTTAGAACTGGTGCCCATATGGGATCCCAGTGCATTCAAGGCGAGGACTTTAGCCACTAGGCCACCACACTGGGTCCACTTTGTACTTCTAATGTGTGTACTATCAGGAGTTCCAGGAGAGATGAGGCCTAGCAGAAGTGAAATGTGGGCAGAGAAGGCAGGGAAAGGTGAATGTCTGCAGCTTTGCAAGTGTGTCCTGGTTATTTGTTGCATGTCTCTTAGGAGAACTTATATTGCTGGAGAAGCTGGGACAAGGTCTTAAGCTTAACGGATTGGACTTCAGGGTAATGACCCTTTGTTCCTCTTGGGGTTGCAATTGATTGGATTGCCATATGGACTTGTGATTTGCTATTTCTAGTGGGCCCAGTTACCACCAAGCATGGTTAATAAAAACTCCTTAATAAACCTTAGCTATGTCTGGCATGATCTTGTGTGTACCCCAAAACAATATAAAAATTACGGGAACCCCAGAAGATGCAGAAAGAGAAGCTGTGTTTAAAAATGTATCTAATTAAATAATAAGGGATATCTTCCCTAATCTAAAGAATTGGGAAACAACATCCAGAGGGGCACAGAACTCCCAACAAGGTTGAGCAAAAGCAATCTTCACCACAACTTCACCAGGATAATCAAGCTCTCTTCAATAAAACACAAGGAAAAGATCCTTAAATGTACACGTGAAAAAAACCAATTGACATAAAGAAATGCCAGTTAAATTCACAGGAGACCTCTCACAGGAAACATAACAGGCCAGAAGAGAATGGAGCAACAAATTCCAGATTCTAAAAGCAAGATTGTTAGCCCAGGATAACATACCCAGCAGCTTTTCTTTGTCTGAAAATGAAATAAAATTCTTCCACAGTAAGACTAAAAGAATATGCCTCTTCCAGACCTGCCCTACAAAGGATACTTTAAAAAAAGATTTATTTATTTATTTATTTTAAAGATTTATTTATTTTTATTACAAAGTCAGATATATAGAGAGAGAAGGAGAGAGAGGAAGATCTTCCGTCCGATGATTCACTCCCCAGGTGAGCGCAATGGCTGGTGCTGTGCCGATCTGGAGCCAGGAGCCAGGAACTTCCTCCCGGTCTCCCACACGGGTGCAGGATACTCTCTTGACAGAGAAGAGGAATAGCAGCCACCAAAACCAAAGGCAAATGTGAAGAACATCCCAGTAAATAACAAAAGACTGGGCCTGGAGCAAGAGCATAGAGATTAAAGTCCTCGCCTTGCACGCATATGGACACCGGTTCTAATCCTGGCAGCTCCACTTCCCATCCAGCTCCCTGCTTATGGCCTGGGAAAGCAGTCAAGGATGGCCCAAAGCTTTGGACTCTACAACCACATGGGAGACCTTGAAGAAGCTTCTGGCTCCTGGATTTGAGTGGCTCAGCTCCAGCCATTGTGGCCACTTGGGGAGTGAATATTGGATGGAAATCTTTCTCTCTGTCTCTCCTCCTCTCTGTATATCAGTATATCTGACTTTGTAATAAAAGCAAATCTTTAAAAGACTAAATCAACGAACAACCCATTGCTTCTCACCTTGCTTGTGCCAGAATCCCATAGAGGCACCGGTCTGCCTCCCAGTTCCTCCACCTCTTTCCAGCTTTTTAGTTGTGGCCTGGGAAAGCAGCAGAGGATGGCCCAAAGCCTCAGGTACCTGTACCCATGTGGGAGACCCAGAAGAAGCTCCTGGCTCCTGGCTTCGAATCAGTTCAGGTCTGGATCAGTTGCAGCCACTTGAGAAGTGAACCAGCACTCCTCTGTCTCTCCTCTCTGTAGATCTGACTTTTGATAAAAAATGAATAAATAAATATTTTTAAAAAGAAAAGAAATGGTGTGCTTTTAATCAAGCCCAGATGCCCTGGGGCTGTAAGCAACTCAAGCCAATATGGAAAACTAGTGTAAATAGTACCCGCATTGACTGGCAGTCTGCTGCAGAATCCACAGCCAGCCAGCAGGGAGTAAAGCTGCAGTCAGCCCAGTGCGGAAGCCTGAGATGGCAGGAAGAAGGACAAGCGGGCTGCATCTGAATGCCTGATCCCTTGAAGCATAATCAGCATTAACAAAAATGATGGTTTTAAGCCAATAGGCTAGGCTTTCCTTTCTTAAGATTCTCTCATTTATGTGTTTGAAATGCAAAGATAGAGACACATCTTCAACTTGTGGGTCCACTTCCCAAATGCTCCAAATAGCCAGGGTTATACCATGCCAAAGCCAACATTCCAAACTCCACCTGTGTCTCCCACAAGAGCGTCAGGAGCCTCAGCCCTGGGACCATCTTCTGCTGCTTTTCTGGGTGCATTAGCAGCAAGTTGGATAGGGAGCAGAGCAACCAGGATGCCAGTGTGGTACATTGGTGTGATTACAGGTTAACTCTCAATGCCAGCTGCAACCCCCTGAACACTTTGGGATCGTTTGTTGAAAGCAGTAGTGACTGGAATATCAGTTGTGGTTTGAGTTGCATCTCCCCAAACGTGCTTTGGCATTCTAACTCTGAACAGTAGTTAAATAGGGGGGGAAGTTCTTACAAAATAGAATTAAGAGACAAATGTACTTTGGTGCAGGGAAAGGTTGCAGTCCACATATAAGGGGTTGTCAGAGTGTGACTGTGAATGAACAAACCTCTTTTCCTTGCAGAGCAACCCTGGCCGTTGTCTTTGTTCACCTGCGCACAGTAGTGATGGTAACAGTAGCATGTGTTTTGCTGGTGTTATAGTAGCAATGCATGTCTAAGACTTCATTTTAGTATTATTTATTTATTTGAAAGACAGTGGCAGATAGAGATCTCCATCCACTGGTTCACTCCTTAAATACTTGTAGCAGCCAGGGCTGGGCCAGGCCACAGCCAGGAGCTCGGAATTCCATGCAGGGCACCAAGCACTTGAGCCATCCCCTGCTGCCTCCCAGGTTGCACATTAGCAGGAAGCTGGACCTAAAGCAATGTCGGAACTCAGGGCCAGGCGGTAGGCTGTGGGAGGCAGGCACGGCAGGCAGCAGCTTGGCCATTGTGCCAAACATTTGCTTCTAGTTTTAACATTGTTTCAAAAGACCTGTTTCTTATTTGAAAAGCTGCCAGCGCTTGAAGGCAGAGGATTAGACAATTGAACCATTGTGCTATCCCCTAAATCTGCCTAATAATGGCACTTGCAAGTAGAGGATTAGCCTATTGAACCACCACACCAGCCCCATGGTGAAAGACAGGAATTCCATCTAGCTCTTCCGCACTGAGAGTCTGGGTCTCAAGTACTCGAGCCCTCTTCCATTATTTTTCCACATGCATTAGCAGGGAGCTGGATCTGAAACAAAGCAGACTGGACTCCAACTGACACCATGACCTGGGCTGCCACTGTTGCAAGCGCCGACATGACCTACTGCACTCCAGCGTTGGCCTGAAGGCCGTCTTCATCGCTTCCACGTCCTTGCATCGCTTCCACGTCCTTGCGATCATGTCTACAGCCACCCCTGAAGTCCACGGGCCGCTGGTTTTCATGTGGACGTGAGTTCTCCTCTCACTGGGCTAAACGCACAGGAGGCCAATCTGTGTGGGGGGACTCCCCACGCATTCAAGCTGAGGAAACTGGGAGAAAATGAAGCCTGGGATCCGCAGGTGCTGGGTTGGTGCAGAAACAGCATGGCGCTCCCTGTGGAGCTTCCTAGGTCAGTGGTCCTTCGGCTGGTCCCTAAATGCCCTGGGTTATACAAGGGCTTGGGAAGCAACAGAAACGGAGCTAGATTCCACCTGCAGCTGAACCATCCTGAGGGCAAGGAGGGGGGTGGGTGGGCAGCAGCTGCCAACCTCAACACATTGGATGCAAAACGAGTGAAAAACAACTCTCAGTTCTCAACTGTAAGCAGCGGGGATGGGCAGTGCACAGCGGCTCAGGGCTGCATGGAGCCCCTGCTCCAAACAAGACTACAGGCATGTCGATGGCCAAGTTCACTGGCACAGTTTATTGAAAAAGAAGCAGCTCTGAGATCAAAAGGTAGGCATTTCCTTTATTGTAAAGATAGCAGTTACAAAAGAGAAGTAATGATTAGGACGTTAGGAAATGTAATATCTGTATATATATTTTAAAAACTTGTAGCAAACCCCTGGCATAGGAGAGGGAGTCCAAGAAACCCTAAGATTTAAAAATCTACCCTAGGTGGTGAGGGATTGGGGGTTTGGGGAGGGTCAATTTAGCTTGGAGCAGACGCTGGACTTGGGCTCAAGGCAAGGGGATGGTGGAACTTAAACTAGGTATTCCAGGAGACCACGTAATAGATTTTGCAGAGTCACAATTTCCATCCTCCTTCTCATGGTTACTTCTAATGATTTTTGTCAGTCTTGTAGCTCAGTAGTGTGCAGTATTAGGGGTGGGAGAGAGGCTGGGATCTGCAGGGGGTCATGAGGAAGGCGGGCCTGTGGCAGTGCGGGGTGGCTGCCAGCGTGCTGTGCCCCATGTGGGGGTGGGAGAACGTAGAGTTTTCTGCTGTCCTCCCTTACCCCAACACACAGCAGAAGCTGAGCGACAGGGCAGTGGGACCATGGCAGAGAGAAGCGTACATATAATGCAGGTGACAGTCCTCTGCCGGGTGAAGATCAGCATCGGGCAACAAGGCAGGCCACCAAGAGGAGGTGGCATATCTGGCCCCAGCGAAGGGTAAGGACAGAGAGGAGAGCAGGGACACTTGGCCATCCCAGGTTACTGTGAAGGAGAGAGGCAGCCCCTTGCCACCCCTACAAGGCTAAGGAGTTGGCATGGGGCGGTAGGTAGCTGGCTCACGGTGGACATGCCCGGTCGTGTCCTCCTAGGAAGTAAGGCACAGCTGTGGATGGCAGTCAAGGCTGGCTGGACTATGTACTGAAAGTGGCCTTCAGTTCCCGGAAGGCCGCCTGGCGGAGCCTCCTCTCCTCCTCCTCTCGCTTCCGCTCATGCTGCTCAGCCTTTAGCTCAGCTTCAAACTTACTGGCAGAGGACAGGGCGCGGGCCTGCGGAGAGGAAGAGGAAGGGCAGGAAGAGAAATGTGAGCACACGGACACCTCTGCCAAGGGACCAGCAACCATGGCCAGCGGGGCCCCCAGCCAACGCCCCATCCCTCCAGTTGGCAGGTGTGTCCCAACTCCGCAGCCAGGTCTCCTGACTCCTGCCTCAGGCAACTGTTGAGCATCCGTGTATACCACCCCTTTCACGTGCTTCTATTATCACAACAAATATTTTTACCTAGAGGAAAAGAAAAAGTGAGGCCCACTGGGATTTTGTTTTAAAATGTATTTGGAAGGCAGAGGGGGAAGAGACAGAGGGGGGCAGGCACACGTGAGCTCATACACACAGAATGTCCACAAACTTCCATGTGTTGCTTCACTCTGGCTGGTCCGGCTTAAGTCAGGGCCCAGGAGCATCCTCCAGGTCTCCCACCTGGGTACAGGGGCCCAAGCACCAGGGCCAACCTCCACTGCTTTCCCAAGCGATCAGCAGGTGGCAGGATCAGAAGTGGAGCAGACGGAGAGCGCCTGGGTGGGATGCTGGCATTGCAGATGGCGACTTAGCTGGCTGAGCCACAGATTCTGCCTGGGAGGGTATCAATCAGCTCGTAGCACAGGGACACTTGCTGACCTTACAGCTTTCCTCAGTGTCTACATTGTCATTCAATACTGCTTTTACGCTAAGAAAATTTTTGCTCTAAATCAGCCTCTACCACCCGTTTTGATGACCTTGGTGGAGTTCCAAACCAAATAATCTGATGTCAGTGACTTCCTAATTAATAGATCCACCTAAAACCCTCTGCTTTAGAACTCATCTTTTGGGTTGGTACTCAATGGCTAATCCTCTGCCTGCAAGCACCAGCATCCCATACAGTTTGTGTCCCGGTTGCTCCATCTCCCTTCTAGCTCCTTGTGTACAGCCTGGCAAAGCAGTGGAGGATGGCTCAAAGCCTTGGGACACTACACCTGTGTGGCAGACCTGGAAGAGGCTCCAGACTCCTGCTTCCTAGGTTCAAATTGACTCAGCTCTGGCCATTGCAGCAATTTGGGTAGTGAATCAACTGACAGAAGATCTTCCTCTGTCTCTTCCTCTGTCTCTCTTCCTCTCTGCAAATCTTCCTTTCCAATACAAATTTTAAAATCTTAAAAAAAAAACACTTGGGCCCAGCGCAGTGGCCTAGTGGCTATAGTTCTCGCCTTGAATGCGCCAGGCTCCCATATGAGCGCCGGTTCTAATCCTGGCAGCTCCACTTCTCATCCAGCTCCCTGCTTGTGGCCTGGGAAAGCAGTGGAAGACAGCCCAAAGCCTTGGGATCCTGCACCTGCGTGGGAGACCTGGAAGAGGCTCCTGGCTTCGGATAGCATAGCATCAGCTGTTGTGCTCACTTGGGGAGTGAATCATCGGATGGAAGATCTTCCTCTCTGTCTCTCCTCTCTGTATATCCGCCTTTCCAATAAAAAAAAAAAAATCCCACCAGCTCTATGCTAATGTACCTGGAAAACCAGCAGAAGACGACCCTTGGGGAACTGCTGTCCAGGTCAGAGACTCAGGTGGGATTCTAGGCTCCGGGTTTTGACACGGCCCAGCCCCAGCCATTAATGGCCATTTGGGGAGTGAACCAGCAGTTGGAAGATGTGTGTGTCTTTCTCTCTGTGTAACTCTGCTTTTGAATGAATGAAAAAAAAAAAAAAACTGGCACAAATCCTGAGGGTCCGAGAGAGCCCAGGCAGCATAATGATAGATGCCAGCCCTGGTCAACTGCTGATCTGAGAATGGACAGGTGAGGAGGCAGCTTTCCTGGGACTGTCAAAGTCTGGTATCTCTACCTTTCCTAGCAGCGCCACTACAGCCACAAGGATCCCCAGACAGACACAGAAAAACACACCCTTCTGGATCCCCAGAAAAACACACCCTTTAGCTGCATGAGGCCGGTTCTACACACCCAGGAGGCAAGCAGAAGGTTCTGGAAATGGACATGATATCCATTGAGTGAAGGGGTGGGCTTTGCCTGTGTGGGGTCACCTCACACTTCCTGCCCTGACAGAAAACATCATCCATTTCTCTGCTAACGGGTCCCCTTTCACCCACGCACCTCAGCCCCATTGGTACTCCTCTCACACGAGCCACCAATGGAACCTTCCCTGCAAGGCCAACCCCACACTGCCTACCCCTGATTCTGTGAAGGCTTTGCACACATGCACACATGCTTGCACGCACACACACATACACACAGTCCAAATGTTCTCCAGCGCCTGCAGCTGTACTAGCCAAGCCTGACTGGGCACACTGGAACCACCTGCCCAGCTGGAGTGATTCCACACCCTACACACCACCCTGGGAGAAATCCCAGATAGACGGGGCGGGGACCAGGGAAGCCTGGCCAGCCCCTTAGGTGTCCTGAGAAGGACTTCCCATGCGTAGGGGAGGCTGGAGCGCCTGTCGCCGTGTCAGAGCATCCAGGTGCCAGCTAATCTCAGAAACCACAGGGTGGGAAATGCTGGCCCATCCCCTGGTCACCACACTTTCATCTTGGCGTCCCCTGCTCCTCCCACCACACCCCTGCCCTGCTCCTTATATGTTCTGTGTGTGTGCTCCCCACATCTGGACACCTCCCAGCTTCCAAACCCGCCCTGCCCCCCAGCACTCTGGTCCTAACTCTTGCGGTTCCCACGCCAGGCACGCCTTCCTTCCCCCTGATTACAAGGTGTGTCCCCATTCATCCTGGACTGTCCGTCACCAGTGCCAGCTCCTAGGGGCCCCTCCCAAACTGGGGTGATGATGCCTTCCAATCACCCCTTGTGGGGACGTTCGTCGAGAGCCACCGGACAGCAGGTGCTATAATTACCAGGTTGACACACCAATCCTGTCTTTGAGTGTGGGTGAGGAGGCAGACGTGGGAACATGTCAACACAGGGAAAAAAAGTTTATTGTGCTGGCTTTCATCTTTTCTCCTGGCTATATAAATAAATACACGCTTGTCATAAAACACCACAGAAATATAAAACATGCTCCCTCAGATGGAACCATTGCTATATACTTCTGCATATCAATATCCAGGTGAATTTAACATGATTCTTTTTCAAAAGTATTATTTTGGTTTTTTTCTTTAACTTTGGCAGGCAGAGCGAGAGAGGGATGCAGAGGAAGACAAAAAAGAAAGAACTTCTATTGGCTCACTTCCCAAATGCCTGAAATGGTCAGAACTGGACTTACGGCAAGTTGGGAACTGGGAGGTCAATGTGGCAGGTGAGTGGCAGGACCCCAGTCACTGCAGCCATTACTGCTGCCTCCTGGGGCCTGCATGAGCAGGAAGCCAGAGCCAGGAATTGAACCCAGGCTCTCTGAGGTGGGACGCAGGCATCTCATCTGGGGTCCAAGTACGCACGTTCACACTGTCACCTCTCGCACCACAAAGGCTGCCCTCACGTGCATGCGCCACAATAAACTCAAGGCCTTCATGACGGAGGGCTTGGCTGTTCCCAGTTTTTGCTGTGTTACTATGCTTGTCTAACTTTTACAAGGACAACATTAAAACGTTTGTGGTGGTGGGGTGGTTTCCAAAGCACCCCACATCAGAATACCAAGTCCCGATTTATCAACGTTCACTTTAGTCGGCAGCAGGTGATGGAAGTGAAGCAGCCAAGACTCAAACAGGCATTCCTATGGGATGCCAGAGTAAAGGCAAAGGCGTAGCCTACTGTGCCATGGCTCTGGCCCCTCTATTTATCTTTAGGAAGAAAGAGACAGAGACAGCAACATCCCATCTGCTTGTTCACGGCAAAACTGAGGGCTTTACATCACCTGAATAAATCAGGCTGCAGAATTTGCAGAGTGGTCGCGACCACAGCATCTGTTAAGAAGCAGCATCTAAGTGGGAATGGAACCCTGCCTAGGGATGGGTCTGCACAAGCTCCAGGAAAAGACTCCCAAGTTCACCAGCCTCTGGGCAAGTACTTGGAATCAGCTGCAATGCCACAAAAGAGGTTGTGCCTTCCTGGGCACTCAGGAGTCCCAACAGTTCACACCAGCTGCCAAGTGCTGGGGAGGGAGGGGAGCCAGGCACCTGTTCAACATTTCCCACACGCATCATCACTGAACTGGTGAGGCAACCCTACTGTCATACCCACTGTACAGCTGGAGAAACCGAGGCAGCAGAGGAGACAGGCACTGAGGTGTCCCTGCTGGCACACTGATGCTCTGGACGCACACATGGGCACACGTGGGGGCAGCCTGTACAAGGGAAGTTAGCCACAGGAAAGAAGGAAAGCACCTGGAAGGGCTTTGGGTCATGCCTGGAGATCCCTTCCCAAAGCCCAACCCTGGGCAACGGAGCTAATACCCACTGTGTGTGCAGGGGCAGCACAAGCTGCCCTGCCTTCTGCCCACTTTTCACAACCCAAGTGTCTAGGGTCCAGAGGGCATGGCAGCTGTTGAAGGAGATAGCTGTGGTTTGTGTGTCGAGGAGAGCGTAGACTGAGAGCCGGTCTTGGAGCCCTGGAGCAGCCCGCCCACTGGAGCCTCATGCCAGGAACCTGCTTTTCTGCGTGGCATTTGGTTCTCGATGATGGCACATGATGCGGCTCCATGCATCCGTGCTAAGTTCACGCGAGTGGACCTCAATGGGTCCTCCTGCTGAGGCCCAGGAAGGCACTCACCTTGGCTTCGAAGAAGTCCTTGGCACCTTTGACACCCTCCAGGGCCACGTCGATCTCCGAGAGCTTGGCCAGTGCCATCAGCCCACTGTCTTCCTGTAGCTGCCCGGCCGCAGCCTTGTGGAAAATGAGCAGAAACTGCGGGAAGAGGGCAGAGAACGGGAGTGAAGTCCAGGTCAGTGCTTGGTGACTGGCCCCTAGAAGTAGCCACCAAACGCAGAGTACGTGTCGCCGTTTCAACTAGTCTTCCCACTGCCTAGATTCAATCCTTCAAAAACATTCATGGAGGGATGGCATTGTGGCACCGTGGATGTGATCAGTGCCTGCAATGTTGGCATTTCGCTCCCAAGAGCCCTGTTCCAATCCAGGCTGCTCCACTTCCGACCCAGCTCCCTGCCATGGAGCCTGGGAAAACAGTGAAGATGGCCCCTGCACCCATGGGAGAGACCTGGAGAAGACTCCTGATGGCTTAGGCCTGGCCTCGCCCCGGCTGCTGCAATAGCTGGGGAGTCAGTCAGCGGACTGAAGATTTCTGCATCTCCCCAAACACTTCTCTAACTTTGCCTGTCAAGCAAATAATCTTTAAAAAGAAAAATTACAACAGCTTAAGTATTAGCCATGAAAGCAAAAAAGTAGTGATGCCTTAGTCTACAATCATGAAAAAACTCATAGCTTTCACTGTGACATTTCTTTTTTTTAAAGATTTATTTTATTTATTATTTTTTTTAATTACAAAGTCAGATATAAAGAGAGGAGGAGAGACAAAGAGGAAGATCTTCCGTCCAATGATTCACTCCCCAAGTAAGCTGCAAACCCGATGCTGCACCAATCCGTAGCCGAGAACCAGGAACTTCTTCCAGGTCTCCCACGCGGGTGCAGGGTCCCAAGGCTTTGGGCCATCCTCGACTGTTTTCCCAGGCCACAAGCAGGGAGCTGGATGGGAAGTGGAGCTGCCAGGATTAGAACCAGTGTCCATATGGGATCATGGGGCGTTCAAGGTGAGGACTTTAGCTGCTAGGCCATGCTGCTGGGCCCCATTTTGACATTTCCAAAAGCTACTTTTCTTTTTCCTATGTATTCCACTCTTTGTATTAGATTATTATATTTCCTTGCTGTTTTGCCAAGCGGTCTCAGAGAATCTGGGATGTTTCAAATACCTTAGTTTTGCCCCATGCCTTTTAACTATGTTTATGGTAATTTTTAACTTTTGGGAATTTTACACAAATTGTACCACTCATTTTCTGGCATCAGTGTTATTCTTGGAAAAAACCTTCCTCATCACCAAAGTTAAACAAACCATCACTTTTGTTTCTGTCTAACTCATGTATGCCTTCTCGTTAAAAACCATGTCAATATTTAATCTCTGGCATTAACGCTGACCCATCCTGTGAGGTGAATCATTAACCATATTTTCTTCCAAATGACTCATTAGCAATTCCTGCATCATATATTGAATAATCCACCCTCTTCCTCCACATCCAAAACGTGACCTGAATGAAGTAGTCTTCAAAGGCCACTTGTCCTAAGGCCTCCATGGAATAAACTAAGTCAATAAACTTGCTCAACTCAGGTGTATGCTCTCTCATCTTCTTGGCCTCTCCCAAGTCAATTCTGCAGCATCCTAGCTCTCCTCCTCAGATAATTCACATAAGCTTGTCCAACAATTGCTATCCGAGGCTGGTGTTGGCTGTGCCAGTTAAGTGGCTGCTTGGCACTCCCCATATCCCATATTGGATGGCTGGGTTCAATGGCTCCACTTCTAATTCCAGCTTCCTGCTAATGTGCACCCCATCAGACAACAGCTCAAGAACTCGCATCCCTGCCACCAACAAGGCAGACCCAAGCTGAGTCCCATACTCCCGCTTCCAGTCAGCTTTGCCAGCTCCCAGCTGTTGTAGGCTTTGAGAGCGTGAACCAAGGGATAGAATTGTCAACTTCCACTAGAAAGAGCAAATGTACGAGCTGACATTCAGTTATGTTGCAGCGAGGCATTTTCCAGATTTCTGGGTGCTACTTGATGCACGAGTGCCTGCAGGGAAATGTTAGATTTCTAGGTCTATTTTTGCATGTCTATCCACCCTGAGAAAAGACCTTCACAGCGGAGCCCAGCAGTACCTAACGCAGAGTGATAGGTTAAGCCTTGCTGACGCCTTTCTGAATCCTGACTTTTGCCCAGGCCCTTCGTCCTGGAGGGCAGTGTGTTTCTCTGGCTGTGAGCCCTGACCTTCCCTGCCACCCAGAGACACCTCGCAGCTAATCACTCTCATTTGCATCCCTCACTCGGGGAGGGCACTGCCCGCTGCACAGATCCTACGATGAGGCCCAGAGCCCAAGGACCTGGAGTTTCACTGAGGCCACTGGGCTCCCTTCAGCCATCCACCTGCACCTCACTCTCACTAGCAAAGCCTCCGCAGGCTGCAGACCATCGGACCGGAACCCTGCGTACCAAAATAAACTTCTCTGTTTACTCCATCTCCCCCAGAACAGATGGAGACCCAGGCACAGGGAGCACAGCAGCTTGGAGCTGCCATCAAAGTCAGCGAGGCAGTCAGGCGGACAGTTCCCATCCCTCAGTCCCTGCTGCTGGGTCCCTGGGGCTGTAGCACGCAGAGGTGACGGCCTTATGCTGGTGAGCAGGTCATTAGCAGGGTCTGCACCTTTCTCACAGGCCTGGGTCTTTGTCCTGCCATGTGATCTCGCTTCAGGACATGTCCACCCCACTGGTCCCTCCCTGGAAGGTGGCAGGTGTCAGCTCCATCAGCACTGAAGGGAGCCAGAAGAAACCTCTTTTCTGTGTAAATCGTTCTGTCTCCAGCACTCTGGCTTAGTAGCAGAAAATAGACTATGCAACTCTGCTTACAGGGGCCTGTGCCTGTCAGTCAGCAGGAGAGGTTCTTTTTTAGGGATCCATGTAGTAGCAGCTCAGAAAAGCAACCAGTTAAGAGGGCAACATTGACCTGAGCATGCTCAGTCTTCCAGAAAGAACTCCAGGTGCTCCCAGTTCATCTGGTCCCAGCCGCTCATCACCACCCCCTAGGACAATTTCTCCAGCTGCTCCCAGCCCCATCTTTCTCTGCCTATTTGTGTCCACAAGGCCTGGACTGTTGCAGAACTAGAAAATGTGCTAACTGTGAGTGTGAGGACACGTGGGGAGGGAGAAGGGAGAGGTGGCAGATAAAAGAGGGAAGCACCAAGGTTCACAAGCTCGCCACACCCGGGATTTGCGGCCGCAATGTCACTTTGCAGCTCCCCGAGGTTTCACAGACGTTCCCCCACCACCGAGTGAGGAAGAGCAGGTGGATGGCAAGTGACAAGCGATCACCCGGTTGGTTTATGGAGAGAGAGAAGAGGCCCCAGTGACAGAGAAAAAGAAGGGACATCTCAAGAAGGCCCAGAGTAGCATGTGCTGGCTTGGAGGCCACGCTCCGAGGCCTGCTACACCTGTGTCACCTGCCAGAAGGCCGCCACACCTGCAGCAGTGCCCCCTGCAAGACTGACCTGTGAAACTACAGCAGGGAATTTCATCGGCCCGACCCAGGGGTCCCCAAGGCCTACACGACTGGGCAGCAGCTGACCCAGCATAGCCAGGGCTGCCCGGGACCCACACATTCAGTATTCATCTACTTTGGGCACGCCAGCAAAATACCACTTTGGGTCTCTTAAACATGCATCTGTACGGGGGCTTCTGAAAGTTCATGAAAAATGGAATCAATGGATAAGGTCAGCAGATTGAGTTTCTGGTGGGGGGCACAAAATGAGAATTCAGCTCTTACCAGCCATCCTGAGAGAAAGCTAGACACGCCTATTTTACAGACAGGAAAACTGAGGTTCAAAAGTCAAAGAACATATTCGAGTGATTCACTCTGCACAGCAGCCCGAGACCTGAGCTTGGGCCCACACCCTTCCCACATGAAACACAGCCCCAGCCTGCTGGGACTCGGGCAGGCACAACACGTGGTAAGCCAGCAACATGCAACAAGGAAAACAGGAGGTGAGGCCTCTGTGTCTCTCGGCTTCCGAACCCTGCCCACCTGCTGAACACGTGACCCCCAACAAAGCTGCGAACTGACACATCCACAGGCCTTTGAAGAAAACAAAAACACACCCACAGCATAAAATTCCCAGACTTTTTTCTAAAGACAGAATGCTGTTTTTCACCAAGCTTCTCAGACACCCGGGGACCAGGCTGCGAGGACCACATCTGCTCCTCCCTAGAAGATGCTCCTGACTTCCAGGGTTCATGACCATGGAGCCCTGCTGGAAGGCTCCGTGGGCTAAGTAAGAGCCCCCATGTTTAATTGTTTTGTTGTTTTTTATATTTAAAATTAGTTTTTATTGGGAGGAAAAGAGATAGACTGCCAGCTCTCCCATGTACTGGTTCACTCTCCAAACGCCCACAATAACCCCCTAGCATGGGCTGGGGTCAGGAGCTGGAAACATAAGCCTGGTGTGCCATGTGGGTGGCAGGACCCCACTGCCTCCCCAGGTCTGCACTGGCAGGAAGCTGGAGGCAGGCAGTAAACCCAGACACTCCCACTCAGGATATGGATATCTAAACTATTAGGCCAAACACCTGCTCCTATGTTCCTGTGTTTAAATGCTTACTATAAAAAAGGAACATTTCGGGCACAGCTCGGTGGCCTAAACTCCTCGCCTTGAATGCACTAGGATCCCATCTGGGCAACGGTTCTAATCCCGGCAGCTCCACTTCCCATCCAGCTTCCTGCCTGTGGTCTGGGAAAGCAGTAAAGCAGTCAAGGATGGCCCAAAGCCTTGGGTTCCTGCACCTGCGTGGGAGACCCGGATGAAGCTCCAGGCTCCTGGCTTTAGAACATTGCTGCTCCAGCCATTGTGGTTACTTGGGGAGTGAATCACTGCACAGAAGATCTTCCTCTGTCTCTCCTCTTCTCTGTATGTCTGACTTTGCAACAAAAAAATTTTAAAAAATCTTTTTTAAAAAAAAAAAAGAAACATTTCAATAGATCGAAAAGTACACTATTGAAAAAAAAAAAACTTGGAGCTGGCACTGTGGCACAGCACGCTAAGCCTCCTCCTGCAACTACAGTGCTGGTATCCCTTAAAGGGTGCTGGTTCACGTCCTGGCTGCTCCACTTCTCATCCAGCTCCCTGCCTACGTGCTTGAGAAAGCAGTCGAGGATGGTCCCACTGTTTGAGCTCCTGCACCCACATGAGACCCGGAAGAAGCCCAGGTTCCTGCCTTTATACCAGCCCCTTCTCATCTGAAGAGTGAACCAAGGGATGGAGATCTCTCTGTCTCTTCCTCTCTTTTTTCAAATCCATCTTCAAATAAAAAATAAGAAAAATAAAACCCTCTGCATCCATACATTAATATGAACATCCTGGTGATCATGTTTCCTTATTTCTTTTTTTTTAAAGATTTAGTTATTTTTATTGAAAAGTCAGATATACAGAGAGGAGGATCTTCCGTGCCCTGATGCATTCCCCAAGTGGCTCCAACAGCTGGAGCTGAGCTGATCTGAAGCTGGGAACCAGGAGCTTCTTCCAGGTCTCCCATACAAGTGCAAGGTCCCAAGGCTTTGAGCCGTCTTCAACTGTTTTCCCAGGCCACAAGCAGGGAGCTGGATGGGAAGTGGCTCAGCCGGGATTAGAACCAGCACTCATATGAGATCCCGGCAAGTGCAAGGCGAGGATTTTAGCCACTAGGCTACTGTGTTGGCTCCTCCAAACTTCTTTACATTTACCAAAAATGAGGGAGTGGGCTTCATCAGTTTCCAGAACATTCTCCCAGGCCAGTGGGATCTTTCATCTCCAAGAAGATGTCTAACAGCAAAATTGCAAGTAAATATCCCAACAACACTCTCTCATATTCATGCCCTGCCCCTAGCTCTCACTCCAGGACAGTTACCTCCCGGAAGCTGAGCTTGCCGTCAAAGTCCTCGTCCACCTCCTTGATCATGCTCTTCAGGCCCAGGTGGGTCTGGGGGGCCCCCAGCTTCTCCATCATCAGCTTCAGCTCCATGAGGTCAATGAAGCCGTCCCGCCCGGCGTCGTACCTGCCAGCGACACAGGAAGGTCCCACAGTTAGGTCTGCATAGATTCCCTTCGCTTGCTTTCTTGAAAACGCATAAGGCACCTGTTGCTTTGCGGGGCTCACACAGCCACCCCAGCAGCCTCTGCCACCCAGGAGGATGTCGCAGGCAGGTGGTTCCATGCCTCTGGCCTTCTCCACTAGGCCGCCCATTGGCCCGAGACTAAAGGCCCCTCCCTTCATTTCTCCTCAGTTCCTAGGATCGAGCCCAGCACTAAACACCACAGGCTCCCTCCTGGCCCAGTCCATCCCCTCAACCTTTATCCTCTGCACTTGGCTTTGCAGGGTCTCCTCCCATCACTTCCTTCCTGTTTTCTGTTACCCACAGACCCTTAGTTACTCAGCTATGAACATCTTGCTTTAAAAAACATTTCCTTGGGCCCAGTGCGGTGGCCTAGTGGCTAAAGTCCTCATCCAGAACGTGCTGGGATCCCATATGGGCACTGGTTCTAATCCCGTATGGCCCCACTTCCTATCCAGCTCCCTGCTTGTGGCCTGGGAAAGCAGTGGAGGACGGCCCAAAGCCTTGGGACCCTACACCCACATGGGAGACCTGGAAGAGGTTCCTGGCTCCTGGCTTCAGATTGGCTCAGCTCTGGCCGTTGCGGCCATTTGGGGAGTGAGTCATCGGATGGAAGAGCTTCTTCTCTCTCCTCCTCTCTATGTATCTGACTTTGCAATAAAAATAAATCTTTTAAAAAAATTTCCTTTAATGACACAACTAGAAACTGCCCCACTTGCCCATGGGCATATGGGCAGAAAAACAAGGTGCCCCACCCCGGCAGACATGGCATTTGTACAACAGAATAAACATCTCTCCAGCACAAAGGCACAGTGCTTGGGCCACGAGCCACAAAGCAGCACAGTCCTGAGGATTGGTGACACTACGGACTTGGTCAGACACGCATGGCCAAATACGCGTGAGTCAGGAACCTCGAGTGGGCCAGCTCACCTACGGTCCTGTATGCACTTGGACACTACAGCTAAGCCTGTCTCATGGTATGTGTGTTGACAGATTGTTTTTTTAATTTATTATATCTTTTAAAAGATTTATGTTTTTATTGGAAAGTCAGATTTCCAGCGAGAAGGGGAGGTTAAAGATCTTCTGTTTGCTGGTTCACTCCCCGAGCGGTCTCAATGGCCAGAGCAGAGCCTATCCAAAGGCAGGAGCCAGGGGCTTCTTCCGGTTCTCCCACACAGGTGCAGGGTCCCAGGGCCTTGGCTGTACTGTAATGCCTTCCCAGGTCACAAGCAGGGAGCTGGATGAGAACTGGAGCAGCCCGGACACGAACCAGTGCCCATATGGGACATGGGTGTCTCATGCAAGGCGAGGACTTTAGCTACTAGGCTACCATGTCAGACCCAACAGACTTTCTTTTTTATTGACTTTTTTTTTCATTTTTTTTTATTATATTTGTGACAATCTTTACATAGTTAATTAGGGGAGACTTTTTTTAAATTCAACAAATGAGCACATTTTTATACCTACCCCTACCACCACAAAGACAATAGCTGGGAACAAACACCCCCACCCACCTCGCATAGACAAATGTAGCTGGTGGGCAGCTGGGGCTCCAACCCTGTAGGCCACGGCATTCCAGGCGGGACAGCCCAGCCGGGGGAGGCCCAGGAATGCAGATGCTCCCGCAGGCCTCCCCTACTCGGCACACCCCTTGGCCTGCCCCGAGGGCCCCAGGTCACCCACAGCCCCCACACTCTCCAGCAGTCCCCACTGTGGGTCTTTGTTCCCCAGCCGAGTGCTCCTGGGACTCCAGGAAGCAAGCAAGCTTTTCAGAAAGGCCGTGCTATGTAACAAGGTTTACACCAAGATAAAATCATCTTTGAGTTCCAATTCCCTCCTGAAGTTCACTCAAACAAAAGGCAGATGGACCAGCCTGGGATCTGGTGGCTTCCAAGGGGGCTTTGTCAGTGCTTTAAAAAAGGAAACAGCATAGTGGCACTAGCGGGCTAATCTCTGCCTGCAACGCCAACATCCACATGGGTGCCAGTTTGAATCCCAGTGGCTCCCCTTCCGATTCAGATCACTGTTATTTTTCCTGGAAAAGCAGAGGAAAGGTGGTTTAAATCCTTGGACCCCAACAGCCACACGGGAGACCTGGAAGAGCCTCCTGGCTCCCGGCTTCAGATCTGCTCAGCTCCAGCCACTATGACCATTTGAGGAGTAAACCCGTGGATGGAAGATTCTTTCTCTCTCCTCTCTGTAAATCTGCCTTTCTTAAAAAAATCTTTTTAAAAGGAAGCAATAACTTATGTTGTTGGCTAAAAACGAGTCCAACTTAAAAAAAATCGGGGCTTGGGCCCAGCGCGGTGGCGCAAGTGGTTAAAGGTCCTCGCCTTGCACACCCGGGATCCCATATGGGCGCCGGTTCTAATCCCGGCAGCCCCACTTCCCTTCCAGCTCCCTGCCTGTGGCCCGGGAAAGCAGTCAAGGACGGCCCAAAGCTTTGGGACCCTGCACCCGCGTGGGAGACCCGGAAGAGGCTCCTGGCTTCGGATCGGCATAGTATCGGCCGTTGCGCTCACTTGGGGAGTGAATCATCGGACGGAAGATCTTCTTCTCTGTCTCTCCTCTCTGTATATCCGCCTTTCCAATAAAAAAATAATAAAAATAAATCTTTAAAAAAAAAAAATCGGGGCTAGGCATCATGATACTAGAACTTAAGGCGCCCCCTAGGATACCATCATTCCCAACCGCACTGCCTGGTTTGGATGCCAGCTATATCGTTCTGGGTCTCCCACACCAGTTCAGGAGCCCAAGTACTTAGGCCACCTTCTGCACACGAGCAGAGAGCTGGATGGAAAGCGGAGCAGCTGGGACTTGAAATGGCATCCCTACAGGATAATCACGGGCAGTGACTCTCCCCGCCCCAGCGCCGAGTTCCAGGCACGGATTCTAAAACACCAGCCAACAGCGCCATGGCTGCACGCCTAATGACGGGGGGGATGGGGGGTGCAGCAGAGTTCAGGAAGCTGCAGGAAGGTGTCTGGAGTGAAGTCACACCAGAAAAGATTGACATTCCTGGGCCAGAGTAAAGGAGGCTGCAGCCCTCCACCACCTCTCCCACCCTGCGATGGTCTGCTCCACTCTGTGCAGGCTTAGGCCTGGCCAGGGACGTGTGGCCCAGCAGCCAGAGCTGGGCTGCATCCATGGAGACTGATGGGTGCCAGCTCAACAAAGAGCCTTCTGGCAAAGCAGCCGACACTCAAGGACCCGACACATGAAGAGAACTCTTGGAGACAGCCTGTGTGTCTCTGTTGCATGGACTTGTGGTTCTTGCAACTGCAGGACCCTGGTTTTGGCAGCATGGAACTTTCCAGAGCCTTCCAACACTGCTAAGAAGCACACAGGCAGCTGCCACATGGAGCTCTGGGCTGGGATGGGAAGAGGTCCTGGGCACCCTGGGGGAAACTCTTGGTGATCTTGCATTAAAAGCCCCCCCGGTTGGGGTCTCATGTAATCTGACCTTCTGAAAGAAACAGCACGCAACGTGGCTGTCCTGCAAGTTGTGTGGTGGGGGAGGTTGCTGCCAGGAGGGGTGGTACATGGAGGACCTGGCTCCCATGTGGCCCCCACCAAGGGGATAGCAGAGGCAGGAAGGGAAAGGCCAAGGGCAGAGGCAGTAGTTGAGGACCTCAGGGAAATGCCCAGGATAGGAGAATGATAAGCAAAGATCAGGGATCAAGGCAGGGATTTGGCCTTATCCCAGGCCAAAGGCAAAGGAGGGAGGGGTGGCTGAGGCTTCCCCATCGCCCAGCAAACCTAGGATCACGTGGGATGGAGGGGAGCACTTAGCCTCTTTCTCTGATTGATTGCAATCCAGAAGATTGGGGAAAAGACTTAGTTTTTAGGCCTTTAAATGGCCATTGGGAAAAATGTTAGAAAAGACTTCAGCGGGCCTGGTGCAGTAACCTAGTGGCTAAAGTCCTTGCCTTGCACACGCCGGGATCCCATTTGGAGGCCAGTTCTAATCCAGATGGCCCCAGTTCCCATCCAGCTGCCAGGTTGTGGCCTGGAAAATCAGCAGAGGATGACTCAAAGCTTTGGGACCCTGCACCCTCATGGGAGACCTGGAAGAGAATCCTGGCTTCGGACTGGCTCAGCTTCGGCTATTGCGACCGCTTGGGGAGTGCATCATTGGACAGAATATCTTCCTCCCAGTCTCTCCTCCTCTCCATATATCTGACTTTCCAATGAAAAAACTCCGGGCAACAGACTAAAGGAATTTCAGCTTCTCTCAGTGGGTGGGGAAAAGCTGAGCCCAGCACGCAGGTGGTAGGGGTACGGGTGGGCGTGTGGGGTGGTGATGGTAGTGGTGTGTGTGTAAAAGCCAGGTGTGTGTGTGTGTGTGTGTGTGTGTGTGTGTAAAATCCAGGCACCCAGGTGGGATGGTGGTGGTGATGGTGATGGTGGTGCGTGTTTGTGTAAATGCCAGGCAGGGAATCTTCACTTGTCCGCCTTCACTGCTCGCATCTGCTCTTCCCACAGCGGCCACTGACCATCCTGTGGGTGCATGTGATAGGGTTTCAGGAGTTAGTGACTGCCACTGGCCAGCTCAAAGTGTCGCCCCAGGCCTTAGGATCCTAACAGCCGTCCTGGGAGGAATGATGACAGCCCCTCTCAGGGTGTCGTGCACACCCACTGCGTGGACACCACCCTCAGTCACCTGCACAGAGGGAGGCACCCAGGAGCCCCTTCACAGATCTCCCTCCCTCTCTCTTGCTCGCACTCAATCAAGGTTTACTTACCGACCGGCCGACCGAGACCCTGCATGTGCTAGTTACATTTCCCAAATGTCCAGTGGCTAGAGTTGGACCAAGCCAGAGCCAGCAGCCTGGAACTCCTCCCTCTCGAGGTCCCTGGAGGCCGACTTGTTCATCATTCTGGAACCATCTCTCGTCCCCTCCCTGATGCACCTGTGGTTACCACCCTGACCTCCTGGAACA